TTTTATTTCAATTTAGTACGTAACGACATTAAAAAATAAAAAAGACGAACAAAACATGTCGGGATACAAAATGCGAATCTCTCCATTTGGTTGAGATGAGGTCACGTGATGTCCTAAATATATTTTTTTCATTAATTTTATTTAATTATGATTCTATTTAATTATTTTATTTATTATATTGTCTGTATTATTATTATTATTATTATTATTATTATTATTATCATATATATCAGTTCCAGTCGGAAGCAAATGTCTTCTCACTGCAAATTATCGAAGCTCTTATGGAATTAACACATTAATTCCATTTATATTTTACGCGCACGCGAGTTTCCTCCCTTCCTTTCACACTCGTGTGTGCGCGCGTGTTTTTCACCCCTACCTTTCACTCACAGATAAACATAGCAGTAACCTACTTTGAGCTCCTACTGATTTGGACTCATAACAGAGATTTTGAATTTTCCCGCGCGTTTCGCGGCGTTTCAAACGGCCAGCGTTTGCAAGCCAGTTTGCCTCTTAGCTTTCGACCGGACTGGATGGGAAACTCATTTATTCCGTGCACTTAACCCATACGCGGGCCGGAATATCTTATTTTTCAACAATGTCGACTGCACCCTCTACCAAGACTTTTTCTCCTTTTGAAGCTGCCAACAGGTCGGACCTTTTTCTCCGTTTTCTACCAGAAGATGTTTTAGAGATACGCGACACTGTCGCGAGCAAAATTTTCGTATTCAACTAATGGCGTATTTTTTATCCCTCGTCAGGGGCCTAATAAGTATAGGCAGGGATGTCCTACTGAACGAACAAATTGCTAATCACAGGTCAGGACCTTTTTCTCCGTTTTCTACCAGAAGACGTTTTTAGAGACACACGACACTGTCGTCGGCAGAAACTTCGTGTTCAACAGGTGACTTAAACTTACCCCTGGCTTCGAACCAAATAATACAGGCAGGGATAGTATTACCTTTGAACAAAACATTTTTCGTCTTTCTCTTTGGGCTCGCCGTAAACCATTCTACAAGACCATGCTTCGTTTCTCCCGGCTAGATGCCCCCAGCAGTCCAGAACATTTACCAGCGGCCAATTCAATATTACCTTTGAACAAAAACATTTTTCGTCTTTCTCTTTGGGCTCGCCGTAAACCATTCTACAAGACCATGCTTCGTTTCTCCCGGCTAGATGCCCCCAGCAGTCCAGAACATTTACCAGCGGCCAATTCAATATTACCTTTGAACAAAAATTTTTTTCGTCTTTCTCATTTACAAGACCATGCTTCGTTTCTCCCGGCTAGGCTCGCCAGTAAACCATTTACCAAGACCATGCTTCGTTTCTCCCGGCTAGATGCCCCCAGCAGTCCAGAACATTTACCAGCGGCCAATTCAATATTACCTTTGAACAAAAAACATTTTTCGTCTTTTTTCTTTGGGCTCGCCGTAAACCATTCTACAAGACCATGCTTCGTTTCTCCCGGCTAGATGCCCCAGCAGTCCAGAACATTTACCAGCGGCCAATTCAATATTACCTTTGAACAAAAAAACATTTTTCGTCTTTCTCTTTGGGCTCGCCGTAAATCATTCTACAAGACCATGCTTCGTTTCTCCCGGCTAGATGCCCACAGCAGTCCAGAACATTTACCAGCGGTCAATTCAATGTTTCACCAAAAAAACTCTGAGACGACCGGTCATTCTTTATAGCTTTGAACCTGTACATTAAAAATATGCATAATCACTTACAACTTAAAATATCCACAGTGAGTACTCCTTTCTATCTGTGCGCACCTTCCTTTTCCGGAACTGTATAAAACTTTCTTTTCCCGCCTTTGGCCATCTTGTATTTCTATTTTGGCGCGGAACATTTTTCATTGATCCCGACCTTGGGATGAGTTTCTTGTTACTGTTTGATTAAAGTTTACTCATGTTTTATAAACAGATGTCTTCGTCATTTTTATTCCGGCTATCTTAATATATTTTATTTTATGCACTTGTTGATTTGACCCCTTTCCTCTCGTTGTTCATTTACGCACATTTGATCTTTTTACTTTGCTTGTAGACTCGGTAGTTTAGTGTGGTGTCTGGCACAAGGCCACTTAGTAATAAACCAGCACTGCACGCTGCCGGGTCTGCAACACTCTCAAACTGGACAGCTTCTATTCTTAGTGTTCAATCTCCTCGACATAATACCAGCCGATTTGATGCAATTTAATATTTTGTTTATAAAATGCGTACAACCAAGATGGATTTTTTTTTTTTCTGAAATGAAAGCAAAATTCGCTTTTAAAAATTTGCCGCAAATCAGGCAAAAGATTTAATTAAAGTTTTAGGAAATATTTTTGGAAGGTATGTTTTATCCCACTTCTTATGTCTGGTGTGTATTTTGTAATTTCTTTGTCGATCGGTCCAGTTTTTGTTGTTAGACAAGGGAAAATCCTCAAAAATATTATTTCAGTCAAAAATTTATTCAATATCAAATGTCAACATTTGGAACTTTGTCCCGCATTTTTCCAAAATGAATTCAATAAAAACTCAAAATATTTTTTGACAATATTGGTGCTTGCATAATTTAATAAAACAATTTTTTTTTTTTCAGATTGGACAACGGTTAATTTATTTTTGGTATGGATGTACAAAAAGGGCATAATTCTTATATCACGCATAGACTGACTATTTTCAAACTATTGGTTAAAGAAACTTTATTTTAAAAAATAACAAGAAACTATTTATGTCATGTGGTGAAAATAGAAGAACTCTTTAGTCTTTCTCTGACTTTCCAGGACTGAATGATTTCCCTTTGTTTTGTCTTCCTCTCTCTCCATCAGGTAGTCGGCCATTTTCCTGTTACGGTTCGCTACCGGAATAGATTTCTAGTATTAAAGGCGTTTCTACTTTCTCGACGCATTGCTACCAGCCGAACAACTGCCTTTAATCCACAGGGCAATGGACAAGCAGAGAGGTACAATGGTATCATCTGGCAAACGGTGAGCCTGGCTCTACGGTCTAATAATCTTTGCTAGTTGGGAAAAGGTTCTAATCTAGATGTTGCACTCCACTGCATTCGCTCATTGCTTTCTACTGCCTCGAACTGTTCTCCCCATAAACGTTTATTTAATTTCCAAAGGAAATCAGTTTCTGGTGATTCCATACCAACATGGCTAACAAAATCAAAATCAGCACTCCTGGGGCGCCATGTACGCGGGAGTAATATGAGCCTTTAGTCGAGACTGTTGACATACTCGAAGTCAATCCGAACTATGCTCACGTGCGACTTAACAATGGACGAGAAACGACAGTATCTCTACGCCATATTGCACCATTGGGTGACAAAACAAACAGTTCACACACAGAACTCAATCCAATGGATGCCCCTATCCAGTCTAACACTACTCTTCCTCCTCCTCCTCTGCCGAGTGCTCTCGAAAATACTGTTATTGACGATTCAGCTGCCTTCAAAAACAATGCCACTGAAAATTCCACTCCTCTACCCTTGGATAACTCCCAGAGGACCACTTCAGAAGACACGGATGTATTGAATCTTCGACGCTCCTCTAGAATTCGTCGAAAACCTCCGTATTTAGCTGAAAATTATCAGCTTTGAACATCTGTTTTTCTCTCTTTTCTATTTTCAGTTTGAGCGGAGACACCCATAGAAACCACCCCTTCCCAGAAGAACGTATGAACCTGAACTTTTCCTTAGGTGGCGGAGAATGTGGTGAAAAATAGAAGAACTCTTTAATCTTTTTCTGACTTTCCAGGACTGAAAGATTCCCCTTTGTTTTGTCTTCCTCTCTCTCTCCATCAGGTAGTCGGCCATTTTCCTGTTACGGTTCGCTACCGGAATAGATTTCTAGTAGAATAAAGCTTCATTCAAGCTATACGGACTCAGCCTTTCTTTCACTTCCACTCAATCTATTTTCCTAACATGTCACTACTGGTCTGCCGTAGTTCTTTAAGTTTTATTTTTACTTTTATGCGCACCTTTTTGGGTGTAATTGGAATTATATTGTACCCTTTGACCCCCGACAGGCAGCCGTGCGTAAATAAAACGTTATTTTCATTCTATTTTAAGTAAAAGTAAACATAAGATTAAGAAAATGAGAGAAGGTTTAGATGACGACGATTATGATGACAATGATGATGATGATATCACGACGATATTTTTTCTCTTCATTTCTTCTTCTTCTACTACTACTACGAAGACGATATTTTTTCTCTTCATTTTAAAAATAATAATAATAATGAAGGCGATGTTGTGAGTACTTTTTTTTTTCTCTGTTGATTTTGTCTCTTCAGGGCGTAATCTCTCGCCCTCCCTTTAATTCCATCCTACCCTTTTATTCCGAACTTAAGTATAAGCGGTTGTGGCTCTCCACAGACTCCTTTTTCTTTTATGCAATATCTGTGAAATGTCATTGAATCTTTGGAGTATGGAGTGGATTCCCAAAGCCTTTACCCTTGTTGCCATTCAAGGCTAGACAGGTCAGTCTACCCAACTATGTATTTCTTTTTACCTCCCCTGATGATGACTTATGAAAGTTGAAACACTTGAACCATATTTCTCTTCCAAACTGAACTTTGGTCAATTTTGAACGGAATTTCTTCCTTGTCTTTGAAGGATCATTTGCTATATATATATATATATATATATATATGACTGTATCTTGCAACTTATCAAATCTGGCAAACTGGAAATCTTCGGTCGTTTGTGTTCAACCACCTCGCTATAATACAAGCCAATTGGATTCAGTTTTTTGTTTAATAGAAAGAAAATGCATTAAGAAAACAGTAAATATGGCTACGACTCGGATCTATTTTTTTATATATTTCCTTATTCAATTTCATCTCTCTTCCATATATAATGGGTTTAAGGCTCTCCACAGCCTCCTCTCATTTGATTGACTTCATTAAAAATCTGAGTTTTTTGAAAGTTTTCTCTTGGACTTCTTGGCTTTTATTTTTATTTCGTTTGCAGTCATCGAAAAATGACAGAATTGGATGACTTTGAAAAACAAAGCAAATATAGAGAGAGGGAAAAAGTCAGGGGTGGAGGGGGAAGGTTGAAAAAAAGAAAGAGAGAAAGACAGTTTAAGGGAGAGGGAGGAAAGAAGGGATGAAATTTAGAAGCGGGAGGAGGAGAGAGTCTGTGAAAAAGAAAGGATTTTTATCTATTATTTCAGCTGATTTTATTCTTAATTCTTATTAATGATGATGATTGTTGTTTTTAATTTCCAGCCCCCTCCGGATGTCATTTTCCGTCCGGTAAAGACGGGCCACACCCTTTCCTATCGATCTACTCTTCCAGTTAGGAGCCAAGAGATATTCTTTTTTTAAAAAGAATCTTTCCTTACCCTGGGGCATCAATATGACCCCCTCACCCACCCCTAAAAAAGAAATTATTTGACAACTCATATTGCTATCAAACGAAAAATAAGGAGAAATTTCCTCGGTAAAAAAAAAAGAATCGATCAATTTTAATCGATTTTTTTTATCTTTAATTTCATTTGAAAATTCAATTCCACATTTTTTTTTCAACTTTTGATGGTCCGAGAAACAAAAAAAAAATATCTTGTAAAATCCATTTTTTTTTTTTTTTTCTTAGAATTATTAATTTTTTTTTTTTAATAATTATTTGCCTCGACTCATATTACGAAAAACAAACATTTTTCTATCTTATTTACCTGAACTCATTGGAAAATCATTAAAAACATTTACGAAAATTTATTCACATCAAAAAGAAAAACAAAAAACAATTTTAATTAAAATTAATTTTATTTTTTAAAATTAATTTTCCATGAAATAAATAAATAAAAAAAAAATTTTAATTAAAATAAATTTTATTTGTAAAATTCACGAAAAAAATTCAAGTTGTTTTTTTGTTTTTTTTTTAATTAATTTTGAAAATTTTCATTAAATTTTTTCCGTCGTTTTTGAAACAAACAAACAATTTTTTTCCAGAAACAAAAATCTTCGGATTATTTTCAGATTTTGTCGGAAATTTGTACAGATTTTTTTCTGGTAAGACAGAAAAAATTCCTTCCAAATTGCAAAAATAAAACTGACCAAATTCGTCGGCATAAAAATCGAAAATTTCTTCTTCAGTTTCGACGATTTGAAGAATTTGGCCATTTTCATTCCAGACGAAGAATTCCGACATTCCTCGTCTTGTCCCCCACAAATTCCCGGTCGAGGATCGGCACGAAGGAGGGGAGAGAACCCGACCCCAGCGATTTCTCAAGTTGGATTCTTTTGATTTCATTTCCTTCTTCAGAATAACAAAAAAATTCTTTAAAATCAAAATCACAAACGAAAATTTTTTCGTTCGTTTGACACAAAGAAAAAAATGGATTTTCTTTTGTTTTGATTCTTTTTTCTTTTTCTAAAAATGGCGGATTTGTTTTTCGCGCCAAGAACCAAAGTGCTCCCGCCCACCCCTCCCCACAAACAACGAAATTGTCTTGGGAAAGACAACAAATGTCCCATGGAAAGAATCCTTCGTCCTGTACGGGACATTGTTCGACGAATTCCCCAGTCTCGCCGAATTCATTGATCGATTTATCGCCCCCATCGACAACAAACAAGTGACCGTCTTCGTCGCTGACGGCCATCGACAAAATCCTCCGCAGTTTCGAATCTTGCAGGCAGAATTCCCTTTCAAGTTCCAATTCCTTTGGATGCCATGCCTTTACCGTGAATTCCATGATTTCTTCTTGAAGTTGGTTCAAAGATAGTTGGCACCATTCTGGAAAGGTCACTACAAAATGACCTTCTTCCACAGGAAAGAAAGATTCATGGAGTCGCCCTGAAAACTCCGCTTCCATCGACTGGACACCAGAAACAACGTCCTCTTCGTCGATGCTGGCGACTAACAAATGGCGCAAATCCAGGAGCCATTTTCCCGCCTCCTCCAAGAGATTTTCTTTATCTTCGAGGGATTGGCGCCATTTCCTTTCTTCTTCGGTCGTCTTTTCTCTCATTTGATTGCACAACTCTGCGGCCTTTAGCCTCGTCTTTTCCAGAAAGTCATCGAATTCCTGCCAGACTTTGGAGCAATTCACGTCGCAATCGATTGATAATTGTTCAATCGATCTCTTCGTCCTTTCAATCCTTTCACGGAGCCGCTTTTCGAATTCTTCGACATCTTTCTCCAGTTGTAGGCCGAATAATTTCGCTTCCAAGATTTCTTTCCTCAAAGACGAAGCCATTTTTTGATTTCGTTCAGGAAAAAAATGAAATCTGAAAATACGAAAGAAAAAAAAAGTCCTTTTTTATCAAATAAAAAATGGTCAAAGTTCAAAACCATAAAAAGTCGATTTTTAAAACCGAAAATAAAATGAAACGAAATTTTTAGATTTTACAAGAAAAACAAATCGATTTCCTGAAAAAAATTAGTTTTCTTCTAAAATCACAAATAAATAAAAGGCGGGAAGGGGGTTAAGAGAAAAGTGAATGAAATATTAGAGAGTGGGGAACGGAGAATAGTGAGAGTGAGAGAGAAAAATAAAATAGAGAGAGAGGGAGAAGGAAATATAGAGTGTGTCAGAGTGAGTGAAAAGTGAGAGAAATCAAAACAGAGTCGAGAGTGGTTATCGATGCAGAAATGAGAGAGAGAGAGAGAAGACCAATACGAGAAAAGGGAAGGAAAGAAAGGGTAAAAGTAACAGAGAGAGAAAAGCTCCAATTTTCTCTCTTCACAATCACTTCAGATATTAATTGCTTCAGTGTTTCTGTCACCGGACACGATTTAAGAAATTTCAAAATGGCGGCTTTTTATCGTCTGCTTATGAAATGATTCAGTTTTTTTTTCATAATGACAAAATTAAATTCATCTTAAATAAACTCGTCTACTCATTGAAATATATATATATTTTTTAAATGGCGTCATTTTTGGGGGAGCCTATAAAATATTTTTGTAGATTAACATTTATTAGACTTTCAAGCCATTGATAGAAACGAAAATTGAATTTTTACATAAAGGAGGTCCTGTTTATAATATCGTTAAAATGTAAAATCGATTCCTGATTTTTTTAAAAAGTTAATTTTCTTATAAAAAACTTCGTTTAAAGAAAAAAAAAATAAACACAAGTTTTTTGTATGAAAAAATGTCATATAAATTAAACAAAGTCTGAAATCGTTTATTTTTCATTGAAGATAAAAAAAAAAAAATTCATCATTTTAATAAAAATGGACCAATATATTTAAGCAGCGCCAAGAAGTGAAGTAAAATTTCGGAAATATTACAAATTGTCTGCAATAAAACAAATTCGATGATTGAAAGAAAAGAAATAAGCAGACGACATAAATAAATAGAAATGAACGTCATCTTTTTTAATCTTTCTGATATCACCGCAAAGACTTTATCAGAAATATTAACTAAAAACGAATTTATTTTACCACAAAATCCGGATCAGACTTTTTTTTATAAAATTGTATGAATAGAAAAAAATAAAAGGTAATAAGAAAAAGTTTGTCTCTAAATATGAATGCGGTTAAAAAATAATAAAAACTAAAAGCAGGAACTCTTGTTTTAATGAAAACATTTGGGAAATTTCGATTATTTGAAAATCGATATGAAAATTCTGACTTACATTTGATTTCACTTGGATGAAAGTTTTTCTTCTAATTTGGGAAACCAAAAAAAAAATGAAGTCCTCTTCTTTGTGTTGTTTATCGCAAAGGGAATTGAGCGGGAAAGCGCCGCGACGTCATAGGAGTTTAAGTGGAACTGTTTTTTTTTTTTTGTCAAAAGGCGTTTGACCAAAACAAACTGCAAACGTTGTCTTCTTGAATTGTTTGAAACAAACTGACAATTACCACCGCCCAAAAGGGTTTAAATAGTAATAGCCAATCAGGATGTAGGATGACGTCATAGAAATATAAGGCATTTCATTGGATGAGAATAAACACACCACTGGACATGAAATAACAAAACGACTTATGTTTAATATGAAAGGGAAAAAGACAAAAAAAAAATATAATAAATAAATCCGAATAAAATCGTATTTAATTCCATAAATTATCATTTTATGTAAATAAAACCAAAATTACGAATAAAATTAGATTCTTTATTTTTTTAAATCAAATTCATATTATTTTATTTCTTATAAAAAATGCAAAACGTATTTTGAATTTCATGATTTTGTAAACTTTTTTAAATGTCTAACCGAAAGCGCTCAGATAAAAAGAACAATCGGACAGTGTGTGTTTGTGTTTGTGTCTCCAGAGCCGACGTGGCATACGAAAACCTCTGGATATTTTGTCAACTGAGGTTAGATCGATATTTTTAAGAAAGATGATATATATATGCGTGTGTATGTGTGTGTGTCTGTATTAAAAAATCGGATCTGTAAATAAAATTTAACTGTCTTTATAGACACTTAACAACAATAATAATAATAATAATAATAATGGGGATGTAAAGCTTCGTTACAACTTCGATACATTGTGTTGATATGGACAAGGGAGGATAAAATCTTCTAAAAGACAAATACATACACAATCAGATTATTAATACACAAACACGTCGACATATTTAGATATATAAACACGAACGAAACAGGTAATAGATGTCGACGACCCTAAAAAAAACAAACAAACAAAAAAACAGACATTATACAGACAATGCAAGGCATATATAAGCCATCATACACACATACATTATGCAGTTTATTATATACACTGTTTAATTGTGGTACGTAAAATATATGGAGAAACTTTATAACATAGACGAATTAAAAAAGCTTGTATAATTTTACTACACTACCATGTTGTCTCCCAGACAAAGTAAGTAAATATACCCTTTGACTAAAAATCTAACATTGATCTCATCTCACAATCCTCACACTTCTTGCTCCATATGTGGCCTCCTTTGTAAATCACTAGCGGGTCTTAAATGCCACTTTCAAAATTTCATAACTGAATCAATAAGCTATCAGATCTCCATACGTCGCTTCCCCTTAATCGCTTAATATTTTCAGAAAATCTTAAAATTATATAAAAAATGTTTATTTTGTGAAGCGAAGAAAGAAACGCGATTTTTTCCGGGACTCGAATGAAGGAAAGAAAAAGAGAAGAAAAAACAAAGAGTGAGTGTGAGAGAGATAAGATAGAAAAACTTACATTGGGGGCGGGAGAGGGACGTGAAAAAGAAAGTGAGAAAAAGAATGTAAAAGAAAGAGAAAGACGAGAAAAAGAAAGACAAATTGAAAGAGAGAGAGAGAGAGAGAGAAAGAGAAAGAAGACGTAAATAAAAAGAAAGAAACAAAGAAAAATAGAAAAGGTAAAAGATGTGAAGGGAATAAGAAAAAAATCTTTCTACGAGTCTTTGACTGACATCAGAATTTTAATTGTCGAAAAAACCTGCAATAAAATCCAAAAATTAGCAATCAAAACAATTTTATTCTCACCAAATTTACATTTTCATTTTAAAATTAAAAAATACAAAACAACAAATCATTAAATTTATTGAGAGATTTTTAAAAATATCAAAATTGCTTCGTAAATAAAAGTTTTTTTTGTTTTTTTGATACAGATTAATTTTGAAAATTTTAATTAAATATTTTTTTCTTCATATTTAAGATAAACAATTTTTTCTAGAAACAAAAATCCTTAAAATATCTTCAGATTTTTTTCTGAAATTTGTACAAAAAATTTTTACGGCAAAATTGAAAAAAAAAAATTAACATATTGCAAAAAGATGAGCCTATGGAAGTAGATAATTTCGCCTATCGCCCGGTTCACACTCCTTTCCCTTCCTTTGAACAAGAGTAGAATTTTAACCCTTGTTTCCTGTTTAAGATTGAATTTCGGGTTTCTTCTCCTAAAGACTTATTCCCTTTCACTTCCAGTAACCAACTGCATCTTAGTGGCATTATCGCCTTGCTTGGGGTGAAATTATTTTAATAAATAAAAAATAGTTGATGAAATTCTTCCCCAAACTTAAAAACGTTAAAGTTTTATCTATAAATACCAAAGTACATATTAAAATTCAATAGAAATATTAGATTTCATATAATATTAATCTAAATTTTAAAGATTACTGGGTAGTTAAAACATTATAGAAAAAGGCAATAACGTTATATTTGTTAAATAATTACTACAGTACTTGTCCCCCATACAAAAAAAAACCCTCAACTGTAAGTCTGTCGAAAGTGTTGTCAATACCACTTAAAAACCACCTACGCGTTAAAAAAAACTGTCTGTGATATTTTAAACTAAAGTAGTAATAATAGTTGTTTCAAATCAGTTTAATTAAACTTTAAATCAACTAATTTTTCTCAAATAAAGTTTCACAAAAGCACATTTTATTTTGGAAATATTTTTATTTTTTAATAAAGAGAATTACGTTGTGTTGACTGTTGACAGATAACCGATTTTAGCGTTTTTACTGAGTGATAATATAAAGAAAATCATTCCATTGAATTTAAATTCAATTTCAAATAGAGAAAATCATTTTGATTACTGGAAATGTTAAATTGAATCTATTAGTTTTGAAATTAAAACTAAACTTTTCAATAAAAAAGTTTTTTTAAAATGTTTTTTTAAACCTTGAAGGAGTTTTATTTGGAGATACTGTCATTACAGTTTGAATGGTAAAGGAATTTTTTGAAATTATCACTGGACAATGGCTTTAAAAGTAAGTTGTTTAGCTTGACATCATGTAGTTGAAAAGATTAAAAAAAAACGAAATTATAAAATGTGACGATACAAAAGTTGATTATCGATTTTTGATGTGACAGAGATTAAGACTTAGTTGTTAATTTTTTGTTTTCCTTTTTCGTTTTTTCTTTTGATTTTACTACAGACATTGATAAGTTTGTGTCTATGGCACACACACAAATACATTATGGCCTGAAGATTGTGCCTAAGCGCGAAACAGACTGTTGTCACTCAGTATTTTTCCTTTTGTCTTTATTCATAGTCATTTTTTTAAGGATATATATATTAATTTTATCTGAATTTTACGTAGACTGATAGA